AAAAAAAAAAAAAAAAAAAAAACTCTCATCCGACTGAAAAACAATAAGCATAATCATGAACAAAACTTTAGACTCCGAAGAACTAACAAACCTCCCATTGTTATTCAGCAATGCTTATGATCCTACAAGTCATGTATTGCTCATAAAGAATTAGAATCACTGCAACTAATATAAAAAACCCAGACTGAAAACTTCTCCAAAAAATGTCACCTAAATACAACCGAGACATGACAGAATACTGAAATCAATGAATTATCGAAATCATTTCATGAGTCTAGTTTTCATAAAATAAGCGGAAGTGCAAGTAAACATTTCTTGTTTGGAGTGAGTATTTAGTTATTTTATTTACCTTTAAATTATCGAGCAGATCCAGTAAACACTTCAAACAACCCACAACAACTTTTCCACGATGTTCTTTGTTCGGGTCCTTCTGTATGTGGAGCATGGGCCAACAACGGCTACAAGATATTCACAAAAAAAGGAAATACGAATTCAGGATGCAGAATTATGTCAATCACCAAATAACTAACCGAATTTGAAAAATAAGCAAGCAGTAGATATAAGCTATGTTTTGTAAAACTAGCTGATCAACTGATAATATAGCTTATAAGTGATTTTCAAGCTTATAGCTTATGACTTATAGATGGAAAGTTATCTTATATGATAAAAGTGTTTGGTAAAACTAGCTGAATAAAAATTTCAATGAGCTTATTTGAAAAGCTATCCAAAGAAGCTTTATGAGATAAACTTGAGGTTTTTAAAAAAATCGTCCTACCAAACGAAACTTGTTTAAATACACGAAGCTTATAAGCTAACCAAATAAGCTATAATCTAGCTTATTTGTGTACCAAACATAACCATAAACGGTACCTCAGAAACTCCCGAATCTTTCACAAGATCATCAGAAGCTATGGGTGCATTGTACGAAAGGCTCAAACGATCATCACTTTCTTGTGATACACATTCTCTTGTATCAGAAATCGCACCAACATTCTCGACAGAAGGAATAATAGTTACCTCCTTCTCTAAAATGCCAACTTTATCTTCAACAAGACTCCGATTTTCCAGCTCACCATCTTTAATTTCAGGTTCCTCTATAGAAGGCGCTTTGGAGTTATTATCTTCAGAACTCCCATCCATTTTTGCTTTCTCGCCCGACAAAGATGCATCCTCCGAGACAATATCAGAAGGGGAATTTTCGGCATTTTCCGACTTGCTGTTCTTGATGCCATTCGACTCGTCATCCGAACCGCTAAGACTGCTCGAGCTTCGAGATGGAGCTCCATCGTAAGACTTACTCGCAATCTCATCATGCTCGAATAATTGTTTGTCATTTTCATCAGATTCTTTTTCGATCGTTGATTCCCTTTCGACCGTTGATTCCCTTTCGACCGGAACAAAACCCTCCTCAGCCTCGGTTTTGCACGGCTCGTCAACAACACCATCATCATCGATATCTTTTTTCCCTACCAAAGGAGGATTCGAAATATTCTCTCTTTCTTCATCTTCCCCACTCGAAAAAGTGTTTTGGCGGCTGCTATGCCGGTCTTGCGAAGCGGGCGAGCTAACCTCACCGGCATCACTGTCCTTATCATCATCTTGCGGCTTCACATCAACACCATCACCTACCATATTCTCGATCGACTCAAAACAGTTCAGTTCAAAATCAATAGGCAAAAACTAAAGATAAACAGAGTAGACTCCAAAACTACTAAAATCCCCAATAAATTAATTACTACTCCACAAACATAAAAACCAAGCAAAGAGCTTATAAAACCAAAACCCATGTGAGCGCCAGCAAAAAAGATCGATACTGATTTCTAAAGGAATCAACAAAGGCCCCCTTATGGCCGACCGAAAATTACAGCCAAACAAACACAAATTTGGGCCATGCCCACAAAGCTAAAACTGATGAAGAATAATTGAGGGGCAAATGGGCCAGCTTAAATCAAGAAATCGACTTTATATATCGAAAAAACTGAGAAAAATAAATAAAAAAGATTAGAGCTTTTGTACAGATACCGTGAGCTTGAGTAGAAAGAGGAGAAGGGTTTGGGTTTTCCTTCTTCTTCTTGGCAGCTTTTCGCTTCTTTGAGCCTGAAGGCATGGTAGATAATTGAGGTGCTCTACAGCTATGGTGAGGGAATTAGATCGTGGGCTGTCTGCTCTTCAACAAAAATTCTTGATTCTCTCTCTACTTTCTCTCACTGTCTCTCTCTGTCTAGCTTAGCTTCGCTGTTTTTTGTTGGCTAATGGCGATTTTTTTTTTTTAATACATTTTTTAATTATTTTGGAAAAAAATGGATTGGAAAAGGCTAGAGAAGAACATATGGAAGTCGAGTGTTTCATGTGATATGGGGCCGGAGGGTTCTCTGTGTGTGAATTTGTTATATTATTATTATTAGTAATCACCCGTGCGATGCACGAGAAAATTATTATCTATGTTCTTTTCAAAAGGTAAAATTGTATATAAATTTATGTAATAACAAAATGATCATGATCATAAGAATAAATATATAAACATATAAGTAAATTGAATATTGAACACTTCTCTATATACAACATTGTTGGTTTGATTCTTTGGCACGTCATCTCGTCACAAATTAAGATTTTCAACCATTTTCGGTTAGTGACACGGGAGACAACAACATATAACTGGTCATGACTGAACACTGGTTTCTTAAAAATAAGCCAACATGAGATAAGGATTGTCCCTGACTCTTGTTTATAGTCACGGCGTAAGAAACCATAATGGGAAACTGTCGCCGTGAGTGGATAGTTTTGTCACAACCAATCGTGTCCCATTACACAAACTCATAGAATGATTCATGTTTCGCAACAACATGACTGGAGTTACAATCTTCAAATACAACTCATGGTTCGGTATTCCGGAACACTTGATACTATTTAAAAACTCAGGCGTATGGAGATCAGACAAAAAATCATTATTATAATCTGATTTGTATGTACTATCAGAGCTCAAGTACATAAGACCATCCAACAAATTCAATGATGTCATATACTCATTGATAGACTCGACCACATCCAACGTCGGCGCTAATATAGCCCTATCCTTCAAATAACTTGGATCGTCAGGTGCCTCCTTGTACATTGGATATGTACTTTCAACGATTTGAGCAATAGGATCATCATATGGCTGAAGTAAAATGTTTTCGGGTATGTCTTCAATTGAACTGGATTTATCTCGACCACTATCCCAATGATATCTAAACATGTGTTAGATATGAGTAAAATTATTATTTATCATGAAAATGCTAAAAAAATAATAATTTAAATGAGTAAAAATGCAATTACCAAATAGCATTGATTCGTCGATATTCTCGACATCAGTTAGTGTGATGAACCTTCGAAAGTCGAAACGGTAAATTGGAAAGTCACCCTTGTAGCTTATGTGTTCAGTTCTATCATGTAAGATAAGCATGTATTGTGCAATGGTGGATCTGTACATTCCAATGTTACTCTCGACCTGATAGTTTCGAAATGCATAGACAACCCCTTCTTGGAATTCATTGATGAAAGTTGGGATGTTTACTGCTCTTATTATTCCTGTAATTCCACCGCCTTGCCAAAAAAAAAATAATAATATTAGAAATTATTGTGTAATATGAGAAGAAAGAATTAATTATTTGATTGTGAATTATACCTCAATATCATGAAAGACAATTTCAAGGATGTTCTTGTAGGATGAGTATTCATTAGTCCTTTGAAAAACCCGAACCACTCTTAACTTGAGCATTGGTCTGTTGTTCCTTGTTACTTGATTGATGTTTCCCCATGCTTTTGCCTTTTTTATGCTTGTCTGATTATACGTCCAAATGAGAATGGGTTTTTTGTGATACGAAATGGGTGTTCGGGTGTTCATTTTAAAGGCATTGGATAATAGTTGATAACCATTGAAATATGAGTTTTAATAAATCCAAACTCTGGTGGGATGATAAGATAAGTGCAAATTAGTTGGATGATAAATTAATTTCTCTCTCGTAACAGATTTTGGTTCCCATAATTTATCTATAATTAAGTTTTTTATTTAATTTAACTAATTTTAGTCAACACGTGTTTTTTAAATGTTTTTTGATAAAAATTGATAGCCATTAGATAATAATTGATAGCCATTAAAATAGGAGTTTGAATAATATGATGAGAAGATAAGTCCTAATCAGTTGGATGGTTAAGCAGTATAGATATTTTTTCGTGTACAAAGAATTGCAGTATTAGAAGATTAATATATTAATTATTAATTTATTTATTGATCAAAGTTGTATAATAATATATTTTTTAAGTGACATGGAATTTTAGTTTTATTTTATGAGGTTTTT